TATTTATAAATATCAAGCATCTGAGTTTCATAGGAAAATATATCAACGTCATATAGAACTTTGTAATTTGCTCTATTCAAAATATTCAACTCATTATTGTTTACTTATAACTATATACCAGGTTAGCTCCAAAAAGAACTTAAGGAAACTAAAAATCGATTAACTATAGAAAGTATTAAACTAGGTAAAATGTTCCAAAATAAAATTTTAGGTGAATAGAGGCCCCTAATATAAAGTGCTATTCAAACTTTTAGAAACCAGAAAAAAGGTTTTCATCATAGTTCAGTTTCATATTTCCAGATGATCCCATTGTGTTTCACATTTCTTTAAAACCAAAGATTCAGGAATGTTGAAGTTGTTTACATACTCTGTATTTGTATAAGTATTAATGAAAAATGAGTAAAAGTAGACATTATCTGAATGTAATCCTTACAAGTTCAGTACTGATGACCCTCTTACACCTTAGCAGCTATAAATGAAACATGTACAGTGCTACATTGAACCCAAATTATCTATTTCATATTTTGAAAAATATGAAGTATATGAGACATAGGGGGAAAATGGTTCCAACAAACCAATAATGTCATATAATATTAGAAGTGGTCCCTCTTTTATAGAAAGACAGATGACATAAAATAAACTACACATATTTAAGGCATACAATTTGGAAAATTGGCATGTATACTCTCATGAAACTGTCATCACAATCAAGATAATAAACAGTAATCACCCACAAGTTTCCCTGTGACTTTGTACAACTTTTTTCCTGCCCTTCCTCAGTTTCCAGGCAAACTAATGGCCGTCTCTGCAGCTAAGTTTGCATTTGCTAGAAAACTAGAATCATATGGTATATACTCTTTATTGTCTGGCTTCTATTAGTCAATACAATTATTTTGCAATTCATTCATGTTGTTTACATTAATATAGTTTATTCCTTTCACATAGCCGGGTGGCATTACACTGTATGTACTACAATTTGTTTATCCATTCATCTGCTGACAGATACTGGATTATTTCCAGATTTGGGCTATTACAAATATATCTGCTATGACCATTCATGTACTAGTCTTTGTGTGGGTATGTGCTTTTACTTCTTGTAGATAAATATTGATGGAGTAGAATGCCTAGTGTGAATGGTAGGTATATGCTCAATGGTTGAAGAAACTGTCAAAACATTTCCCAAAATGTTTGACCATTTTATATTCCCAGAGTATGAAAATTCCAGTTGTTCCACATCATAGCCAACACATGGTATGATCAGGCTTTTTAGTTTTAGCTATTTTAATAAATATCCAGGAGTATCTCCATATGGTTTAGCCTGCATTTCCCTAAATGACAATGATTACAAGCATCTTTTCATTTGCATTTGCCATCTTCATGTCTTTTTTTTAAGTTTTAGAGATAGTCTCACTCTGCCACCCAGGCTAGAATGCAGTGGCATGATTATAGCTCACTGCAGCCTTAAACCCCTGGGCTCAAGTAATCCTCCTGCCTCAGCCTCCTGTAATTGAAACCACGCCACCACACCCAGTTTCATAACTTCTTTGGTGAAGTGTCTATCTCAATCATTGTCTATGTAAAAAATTGGGTTTTTCTTCTCTCTTGAAATGCCTCTATATATTCTGAATTCAAGATCTTTATTAGATGTATGATTGGCAAATATTTTCTCACAGTCTGTGATTTGTCGTTTATCTTAATGGTGCCTAAGACCATACTTTAATTGGTCTTTGAAAATCCAGTTTATATCAATTTTTACTTTTGGAAATTATTCATTTGGTGTCACATACACAAAATCTACCCCAAGCATACAAAGATCTTTGTCTTATCTTCCAGAATTTTTTTTATTTTTTTATTTATTTTTTTTGTTTTAGGTTTTATATTTAGGTCTATCTATGATCCACTTTGAGTTTATTTTTGTAGATGGTGTGAAGTATGCATTAGGGTTTTTGTTTTTGCATGTGTGTTCCAGCACAGTTTTTTGAAAAATTTATCCTTATTCTGGAAAGGATTACCTTTCACGTTTTAAGTTTTGAATTACCTTTACACGTTTGTCAAAATCAGTTGACTACATATGTGTGGGTGTATTTCTGAACTTTATTGTGCTACACTGATCTATGTGACTATGTTCATGCACTTTTGCGTTATCTTAATAGCTATGCAATGAGTCTAGAAATTACAGCGCTGTAATTTCTAGACCTCTACTGTCAGTTTTATTTTCCCAAAGTTGCTTTGGTTATTCTAGGTCCTTTATATATTTCCAAATTTTAGTATCAGCTTAACAAGTTCTACCAAAAAAAGCCTACTGAAATTCTTACTGGGATTTTGCTGAATCTACAAATCAATGTGGGGGAAACTGACACTTAACAATATTGAGCCTTCTAATCTGTGAACATGGTCTCTCTCAAGTTTACTTTCTCAGCACTGTTTCGTAGAAATCAGTGTACAGGTCTTGCATGTATTTTATCAAATTTACACTTAATGATCTCATATTTTTATGCTACTATATTTTTAGCTTCATTTTCTGATTGTTGCAGGTATACAGAAATGCAATCGACTTCTGTAAATACACATATCCTGTAACGTTATTAAACTTTAATTAGATATTTTCCTGTATTCCATTGGATTTTCTATAGTCAAATGTTACCTGTGAGTGGAGGCTTTTTAAAACTTACTCCTTTGTAATCTGGAGGTTTCTTTCTCTTTCTTGCTGAATTGCCTCGGCTAGAAATTCTAATAGAATGTTTAATAGAAGACAAATATACATTCGCTTTGCCTCTGATCTTAGGGAAAAAAACATTGTTTTCCAGCATTAAGTTTATTGTTAGCTGCTGGGGGTTTTTGGATGCCCTTTTCTGGTTGACGAAGTTCTCTTTTATTCCCACTTTGCTGAGTTTTTATCAAGAATGAATGTTGGGTTTTATCAAATGCTCTTTCTGCATCTCTTGAGGTGATCACATAATTTTCCTGTTAGTCTGCTTAATATGATGAATTACAATTGATTTTTAATGTTAGCCCAAATTTGCATTCTTTAGATAAACCTCACTTGGTCATATGTATTCTTTTACCCATCACTGGATTCAAACTGCTAAAACTTGTTTAGAATGTTTACATGTCTTCATGACAAATACTCTTCTCTAGTTTTCTTGTCATGATGCTGCCTTATTTTGGTATGAGGGTAATGTTGGTCTCAAACACTGAGTTGGAAATTATCCCCTCCTATTTCCTGGAAGCTTTTGTCAAAAATTGGGATATTGTCTTCTTTTAATCTTTGAAAGAATTCACCAGTATAGCCATTTAGGTTGGGCATCTTACCAGAAATGTCTACAGAAATTGTGGTGATGTCACTTCTCTCATCCCTGATGTTGGTAATTTTGTCTCTTTTTCTCTTTAGTCTAGTAAAAGGTTTATCATTTTTGTTGATCTTAAGGAAACAAAGACAAAGCAGGGTGGCTCACACATATAATATCAGCACTTTGGGAGGTTGAGGTGGGAGGATCACTTGAGGCCAGGTATGAGACCAGCCTGGGCAACACAGTGAAACGCTGCCTCTATAAAAATTAAAAAAAAAAAAAAAGTTTTTAATTGCACTGATTTCCTCAACTGATTTTGTTTTCTCTTCCATTGATCTCTTTATTCTCTTTTTTAAATTTTGAGGTTCATCTGCTATTATTTTTGTAACTTCTTAAGGTGGATGCAGTGTTGGGCATAGTGTCATGTGCCCATTGTCACAGCTTCTTGGGAGGCTGAGGTGGAAGGATCACTTGAATCCAGGAGTTCAAGGCTAAAGGTAGCTATAATATGATCACTTCAACCTAGGCAATAGAGTAAAATTCCTGTCTCCTTAAAAGAAAAAAAAAAAAAAAAAAGAGAAAAAGGTGGAAGCTGACATCACTGACCTGAGATCTTTCCTTTTTTAATATATACATTTAATGCTATAAATTCCCCTGTAAGTACTGTTCTAGCTGATTCCTACAAATTTTTATATTTTCTGTTTTCATTTGCATTCTGTTCACTATAAAGTGGGTTTCTTATATTCAGAACAGTTGGATTTAAAAAAAGCCAAGACTCAACTGATTATAAAGGATAACCGACAATTTACATTTAATTATTGATATAGCTATTTAAATCTACTATCTTAGTGTTTATTTTCTATCTGTCCCATTGACTCTTTGTTCCTCTTTCGGATTTATGACTTCATTTTATCATCTTTACTGGCTTACTAGTTATTTACTCACTGATTTTCTTTTTGTGGTTGCTTTAGGTCTTATAATACACGTTCTTATCAGTTTACTCTCAGGGAATGTTATACTGCTTCACGGTCAGTATAAGAACTTTAGAGCAGTATACTTTCGTTACCATCATCTCAATCTTGGTACTGTCATACATTTCACTTTATGTATGTTAACCACACAATATCGTATTATTATTATTTTGCTTTAAATAATGTATTGTCTTTTAAATAAATTTAAAATAGAAAAATAACTTTTATATTTACTCACATATTTACCACTTTTGGTGTTCTTCATTCCTTTGTATTGTTGCAGATTTCTATTTGGTATAATTTCCTTCTAAAGGCATTTTTTTATCATTTCCTGTGGTGGGAGTCTGCTTGTGACAAACTCTTTTAGCTTTTCTAAGTCTGAAAAAGTTATTTCATTTTTGTTTTTGAAAAATATTTTCACTAGGTATAGAATTCTAAATTGAGCTTTTCTTTCAGTAAAGATGTTGCTCCAGTGTCTGACATTCTTCTCTGTCCTATGTCTTTTTTCTTTAGCTACTTAAAAAAAAATTCTCCCTTGTTGCTGGTTTTAAGGAATTGATAATGATATGCCTTGGCATAGTTTTCTTATTTCTTGTGTTTGGGGTTCGTTGAGTTTCTCTCAAGGATTAATATCTGACAATTGTTTCACATATTTTCTTTTTTAATTTCAGGTGGGAAGGTAAATCTCTCATGTCATTTTGGCCAACAATGAAATTTCAATTTCATGTTCCCTATTTTCTGCATCTAAAATTTTATTTTTTATACTTACTTAGCTTTTAAATTCCATGACAAACATGTTTCATTTGTACACATAATTACTAAAATTATTTTATCCCACCTCTTTTAATAGACATTATGTGCATTTATTTTTCAAAAAAAGCAATAGGAAAATATTAATAGATTTAAATACATCATGTAGGCAAAACACACTAACGTTTATGTCTTCTAAACCTGTTAGATAGTGATATACAAGTAAACTTGTTACAAGTCATAATGCTTTCATAATCTGTCAGGAAAAGATTACATTAACATCCCTATATGCTTCAGTACAAATGTATTCTAGAAACCACACTGGGTAAAAGTAATATTCCTGTTTTTATTTTTGGAAGTGATTATTAGTAAGTTTATGCTTATTAAATATATCCTTGAAAATTTCCATCACTTCAGAAACCCATAAAGTTAGTAACCTAAAGTTTTTTCTTTTTTTTTAAATTTTAGTACATACTTTCATCTCAGAAGTCAAAATGGGGCAGGAGAGCTATACAAAGATACATAGTTTAAATCTTTGGGACAAGAGACAACAAGAAGGTAAACAAGTCAGTAGCCCTCCCAAGCTTCACTTAATCTAAAATTGTAGATCACGGTAGGTAGATGTATACATCTGTCTATTGCCAAAGAGGTATAAATTATTCTGACAACCTTTCTAAATAATTTTATGGTAAGGCCAGTAATATAAAAATATTATACACAGTACAGAAAGAATTAAAGTTAATGATAAAGACCACAAAATAAAATAAACCATACTTCTTACTTGGAAAAACAAAATAGCAATAATACTATAATATTTAGTGTCTAATATGAAATCTCCACTCATTATAAGTTGTCATATTGATTGAAATTTTACAGTACAATGTTGCATATTACTAATGAGATAATCAGCAGATAGATAGCTCTTGTCGAGTCCTATGAATCTTAAATTATTATAGGTAAAGATATCTAAAAAATACCACCCAGGAATAAAGATTTGTCAGAAGTACAATATAGTAACATAAATGCAAAAGATATCATGTAATTTGTGCAATTCAAAATTCCAAAAATTGTCTTATCAAATATACAATAAATAATAGTCATACTTGACTTCATCAAGTTAACGAAATAATTACTAGCCAACCCTATGCTTTATTAATCAGTGGCTTAGAAACACCAATTGCCATTTTAAAATTACTTTCTCCATAAAAATAGAAGGCATATCAAAGTCTTTAAATCTCAACTAGCCCCAAAAATTTGAAAGGCAATTTGTCAATAAAAAATATATGTTAAAAAAAAAGATGACTAAAAAATAAACACAACCAATATTTATGCACAATTTTCTTCTCTTAAAAAGGGCACTTAGTGGATGGCTAAAGCTTTCAAAAAAATAAAGATCCTGTTGACCTTCCTATTGGGTAGATGACATACTGTACAATTTTTAATATAAAAATATACATATTTTTAAGATGAAACAGTGGTTGGTATAAAATCCCATCACACTTTTACTTGAAAAAATTTTTTTCCCTGGAAGCCATGAAAACAATACTGATTCTATGTAGTTCCGTGTTGCCTGAAACTTCCCAAATTATAGAACATTAAGGTATTCACTGAAACTTCAAAAGTGGGCCCGTAGTCTTTTGTTTTCTTCTCGTAGTCTTTCAATTTCAGCCACTAAACCTTCATTCACTGAGTATCTTTCCAGCAAAGAATGCATTTCATTCTAGAAAAAGGGGAAAATGCTTTTTAAATTATTGATATTTCACATTTATTCGGCAGGCTATGTTTAATATACTTTCAGCTATCATTTCTCTCATGTTCAATTAACTAGGTGAATGATACTTCTTGTACTTAACAACTTACTACTTGGTTAATATAAATGGAAGATCGCTGGTGAAATTAATGTATTTGGAAAATTTGTATTTGCATATTTAAGATGCTTTTTTGCTTACTTATCAGGAAGAAAGCCATGGAAAAAAGAAGCCTTAAGTACTTCAGAGGTTAAAAAGGAGGTGACCAGTTAAAATCTATTTTACTTATTTAATTTCTAAAACTACCTATTTACTTATCTTAGAAACTAAATAAAACAACTAAAATATATTACCTTTAATGAATTTCTAAAAATTCACACAACTCTACTTTCATTTAAAATATTAAAATAAAATTTGCCATACATACCAGTTGCATATGAAACTGTTTAATCATTTCCACTTGCAAATTCACAATGTCCCTATGGCATGCTTCTCTAGGAAGAATGGAAAATACTTTTTAGAATTACAATAGTTTAACCAATTCTAGGTCATTCAAGAAACTCACTAAACTTTTTCATTTGCCAAATTACTGAACGTTAATAATTATTATAATAATAAAAATACCAATGCACTGAGCATTTATTTACTATGTGCTAGGCACTGTTTCTTTTACTTTAAATGTAAGGACTCATTTAAAATATCTTCACAAGTAGGTGCAATTATTACCTCCATTTTACAAAAGAAATAACCACAGAGTAGTTATAACTTGTTCAAAGTCACACAACCAGTAAATGATGAAGCTAGGATGTAAACCCAGGCTGTTTACCTCCTGAACTCTCCGATACTATATTCTTTTATATAGAAATTGTCATTAAGACACAAACTTATCTTACAATGAAATACAGAAAATTCACTAGGTTAGAAAGATCATTTTATTATTATCAGTTTAGCTATTGAAAAAATATACTTTCAGTAGAAAGTGGCAATTCGGGTGGTTATAGCATGGTTTACTCAATAAAATGCAATTAATTCATATCTACAAAAGAATATATAAAAATTATGAAGTATAATAACAAAAGAAACACTCAGTCACCCACCACACAACTTATGAACTAAACGTTATCAAATCATAGAAGCTTCCTGTGTGTTCCTGTCTGATTCTGTCACTTAACTCTTGGGGAAAAGCCCAAGCAAGGAGTCATTACTCTCCTGAATTTTGTTGAACAAAGAAATGCTTTTGCTTTTTTAATACATTTGTATAACATATAATCTGTAGTCAGTGTTTTCATTATGCATGTTTTTGAGCATGTAAGCATTCCAAAAAAAGGGTACCATATAGCTTATATTTAAGAAAGAATTCAATATTGTTTTGAAGATTCATGTTTTATATATCCATAAATCAGTGGTTTGTACTGGTGTATCTATTTTCCTGTTAATATTTTGATTGTTTTCAAGGTTTTACTATTACAATGTTGTTATAAACAATCATGTATTATCTCCCAACCCACACGTGCCAATGTCCATTGATGATATAACCGAGTGTAACTCAAATGTATACTCAGTTTTACAAAATCATGCAAATTGTTTTCCAAAGGTAGTGTCAATGGATGTCACCAGAATAACAGAGTTCTTCTTGCTCTATATCATCATCAAGACTTACTATTACCAGATATTTTTATATTTTCCCATTTACTGGGTGTGACATGATATCTCATTGCATTTTTAGTTCTCTAATTATGAAGTTGAATTATCTTTCCTGTGTTCATATACCATTCCTCTTCCTTGAAATGCTTTTTCATATCTTTTTCTTACTCATTTGTAAGCGTTCTTTACATAATCTGATCCTTTGTTATTTATATGAGAACTGCAGATATCTTATCCCTTCACTCTGTGATATCGTGTGATAAACAGTTCTTATTAATGTGCTCAAATACACTAACTTAATAATGCAGTCAAATTTACCAATGTATTTTTATAGGCAGTGCATTATTTTATTTTTAATGATTTCCTACCATGAAGTTATAAACTTTTATAATGTCAACTTTTAATTTACATGGAACTGATTTTTCTCAATAGCATGGAATAAGGATCTATACTTATTTTTTACAGGAAAAAACAGATGTCACAACACAACTTATTGATTATTCCATATTTTGCACATAAATCTGCAATGCTACCTCTCTATCATTTCCATATATGCATAGGTTTCCTTCCAGCTTATTTCATTCCTTTGGCCAATATGTCCTCCCTGTGCCATGCTATATATCTTAATTATATTTTAATAATTAAGTGTATTCATCTGACAAATAAGTCCCCTTCAGCCTTATTCTTCTCTGAAGTGTCTTAGTTATTCCTAGATTTTTTTTCCTTCCTTACATATTTTGGAATCACTTCATCATGTTCTTCCAAATCCCAGCTGGGATTTTAATTGGAATTGCTGCATTCAATCTACTGACCTTATTTAGGTGAACTAATATCTCTATAAAATCTCTCCATTTATTTAAATATTAATGCTTCTGAACAAAAAAAAAATTTAAATGTTTTTCTATAAAAATCTTCACTACCATTGGTAGATTTATTCCCAGGTTACTTATTGTTTTTCTGTTGTAACTACGAGGGTATTTTTAAAAATTTCCTCTTCTACTTTCAGTTATAGTAAAAACTGTATTAAAAACAAACAAAAACACTATCAGGGAACCACCAAGGTGGCCAGGACTTGAAGGGCCATGATCTTGCAAAGGAAAGACTACCAGGTAAGCTCCACATTTACCTCTGTTTTTCCTTTTAGATTACGTGCTGATTCCACAGTGTGGAGAAGAAACTGAGCTGAGGCAGTGGCATGGAGGTTGAGATAGTCTCGCTGGGTGGGGGAGTATTAAGAGTTTGGGCCTACCAAGGTAGTCAATGCTGTAAGAGCCAAGGTCTTGAAGAGGGGAGACCTGCAGAAAAGTAAGCCTGAAACTGCAATTTCCCCTTACGACATCTGTTGACTTCTAAGCAATGCTTGCACTGGGTTAGATGGCAGGAAACCAACCATAAAACAAGCAACTAAAGAGCAGAGAAAGTATCTGGAAGCCTCGTGATGCTGGCAAAACAGAGGCTCAAGTCTGGGACCCACCAAGGTGAAAAAGACAGTGAATACTCCAGACATTCAGCTGATGCCAGAAGAGAAGACTACACACTAGGGATAAAGGCAAACTGGAAACAAACCAGTGCTAAGAAAACCTGAAACCTACTAACTACAGGATCAAAGGGATCTGCTTGCCAAAAGAAACTTAAATACTCTTAATAGACAACAGAAACAGACGCAGAGATTTCCACTTAGGATGTATTAGGTTGGTGCAAAAGTTTAATTTCCCAACTCTAACAACAAAAACAAACCTGATAACCTATAAAATCATATTATTTTAATTTCAACTGAGAGCTGAGAATGGAAAGAAATCTAAATGAACTAAAATCCAGAAAATGAGGAGTTCCTCCTAGGAGAAAACAGACCCATGACTAGGAGAAAAGAGACCCAGCTTCATGCCCTCGACAGAGTAAAAAGAACTACCTGAATTTTTGGTAAGATTTTTAAAAGCCAAGTTAACACTGCTTGATAGTTTAGAATTCCAAGGGGTCCCAGACACAAAGAAAGTCTGAATTTACTCACCAACTTTTTCCCACAAGCCTTCATTCAGCACTCATGTAAAAAAAGTAGGGACAGGTGTAACAGGAGGGGCGAGGGACTCCCTAAGATACAGATGCATAGAGCCTGGTGAAGCCTTACGGCGGTAGAGAAAAACTGAGAGTAATCCCTCTAAGGCTCTCCAGGCTCTTATGGAGAAGATGGCAACCACGCCATACTGCTCAGGGAGGATGGCTGAGAAAGAGGCCCTCAATACCCTCTCTGTCCTGCCAGTGATAGGTGTAGATGAACACCTAGTTTGATGAACACCTAGGTGAAGAGCAAAACAAGTGAATTTACAGAAATCCTCCGAGCCACTCTAGGTCCTCAGTGAGTCTCAGGCAGAGGCTGCCTATGGTCATAGGGCAGAAGAGCTGAGAGAAGTCCCTACCCACCACCCCTAGGTGCAGACATGCAACACAGGGCAGCAGAACCAAGAGGCACTGTAGACCTTCACCAAACATGCTGCGGCAGCTCTGCAGGCCTGGAAGCGGGACAGACACACTTCTCCTGAGGCACAGAAAGCCAGGAACAGACCAGAAAGTGAAAAACAACCTCCGGCCACCCCAAAAGCTGACAGCAGGGCAGTAATGCACAGCCATTTCAGAGTTGCTCCAGCACTCAGATCCCTGTGTCTGCTGAAGGAAAGGCTCTGAGCCCACTGTCCTCAAATCATCTGAAGCCAGTGGAGAACTGACACCCAAATGCTTGTTGAATAAATGGATAATAAACAGACAGCACCCATTACTCCTGTGCTTAAAAACTCTGATGGCTCTCCATTACCTGTGTGTTAAGACCTTGACAACTGTTTTTTAGGCCTCGTCTCTTACCATGGTGCCTTCTCTCTGCAAACATTCCTAGAATGTACGATCATGTCTCTGCTCAAGCCGTTCCCACACGTCAGTATAAAATAAAATCTCTTCAGTGTACCTTTCTAAATCTGCCCCCGCAGAAGAACTGCCCCCTTTCTGTGATTTCAACATCACTTTGCTCACACTGTATTGTAGTCAGTTGTGTCTAGACAGTTCTACTATTGTGCCATAAATATTTATGCATTCCTGAAAAAAACGTTATTCTCTAACACTGTGTATTAAAAATAACAGAACTTAGGGAAAAAGGATTGGCAAAGCACTCAAAAGCCTATGTATGCAACTTTGTAACCACATCACAACAAAAACAATTAAATCCTAATAAAAATACTAACATAGTTAAAAAGACATAGTAAAAATCTAATAGATAATTACTGAACAAACCCTTACTGTGAAGAAGTGATGGTCACTTAATGGAAGGGAATAGAAGGATTGGGGCTATCCAGTTACAGCTGTGTTCATGTGTACTTTATTTTGGCTGCTATTACATGAACAAACAAAATTTCCTCATCATATTGTCAACACTGTTCTATTTTACTGATCCCAAATGAATTAATTCACATTAAGAGAAACACACATAGCAGAACACACTGCACTGAGCCCAACTAAATCATAAGGCCTTTGTGGGCAGATCATTCATTTTTGTATCCTTAGTATCTGGTACATATACTAGGCTGGGTAAATGCTAAAGTTATAATTTTTCTTTAAAAAGTATTTTTCAACATTTAACAATATATTTTACAAGTACTTTTAAACATTAAAAGGAAGCATGCACCAACAAAAACTGCACATTGTCTCCAACATTCTTGCTTACAGTAATGCAAATCTGAGCTAGAACATTAACTATCGGTTAGAAAGGAAAAAAGGCACCAATGATTTTAATAATTGAAGACAGCTTCCAAAAATATCGAGATGATAAAAGAAAGCAGCACTGCAGAACACATTCTTACAATGTTCACAATTCGAAGGATGAGAAAAACAAGGACAAGTCTGAGAAAGAATTTTTTTTTAGATTAAGTATTACATTCTAATGCATTCTATTGGAAAATATTCAGAATTGCTCTTTAAAATATCTTTTTCTACTACATTATTGCACACAGCATACCTAATAGATGATCTCTATGAACATACTGCAGGTAAGAACCCAATTTAAGCTTACCAGAACTTGTCCACATTTTAATAATAAAAAAAGTTCACAATGGCAGTCTGCCTACTAGACTGCCCTGCTGAGTTATCTAATAATTGCCCTAGGTAAATGTGCATTTTTCCTGGCTCATAATCAATAAACGCAGTATGAAAAGATCAACAAAACTCATCATGTTTTCTATGGCTTTACGGTTACCAGAACCCAGACAACAGTAACCAATAACATTATATATAGTTCTGGTTTTACATCTAGAAAAAAATAAGTAAGGTCTAGATAGAAGGAGTAGTTTCTCAATGACTACCTAAAGTCATCCAACGTTTCCTGTATCATGTTCTGAATGAAACGAATTTGAATGGAAGTCAATGGTGCATTTTGCCGGTTATTTCCAATGGTATCGGCTATTTTTTCTGAGAGTGAACTGGCAACTCCAGCAGTGACAGAGGATGCTATCTTTGGATCTAAAATAAAGAATGAAGAAAATATTAATAGTCAGCTTGGACTGAGAGACATCAAACATTTCTAAATAAGATTTGGCATGTGAAAACTTGAAAAACTGGCAAAGAAGAGTGTTCCTATGACATTTAGAAAAATTCACTGTCTGGAATACAAATCTTAGAAACTTTCTATAACATTATTTCTAATAGTCATTCATCTATATATATAAACTGCCAGCTGTCTAATGTAATACCACATGACAGAGGGATTAATCTTGAAGAATCTACGAACCATTTCCTCTTATAAAAGATGAATGTGACAAGCTGCACCACAAACTAGATAAACCAAGACTATTAAAAACAAACAGAAGGAAAACAGGAGTAAAGTACTGCTACAAGAAAAGCCTTTGAGTTTAAGCTAACGCAATATCTATCCACAGAAACCTTCAAGTAAAATATAGATATTTATATAAAAGTTGATTCTAAACAAAGAGTTGCTTTGTGTAGATAACTCTTAGAGTTAAACCAAATATTCCTTTAAATGTGATCAAGTCTGTATGGGTCTGTAGCACAAACTCTAAGGATAAGACTTGAATATGAAAGAGAAAAAGACATTTTCAGGTAGTTAACCACCCCTTTTCAAAGGGTCCTACATAATAGTTCTATCTCTACCATATTAAATAAATACACGTTACACTGAAAATCTAATTCACACCAAAAGATCAAATCAATGTACCTGAATTTAACTATTCATATCCATTTCATTGTCTTTAGTAAGACTCACACTATAAAAGTGTGCATAAACTTTAAACTCTTTGAACATTTTTAGTCTATGAGCACTCTATTTCTCCTTTACAAGTTAAACAATTGGGATGATTTTTCAATTAAACACTTTCAAACATCAGAAGGTTCATGTACGTACTTGGAGTTGAGGATCTATTGATTGGGGGTTCACATATCAACTGGGCTTCAATTTCATTCTCTGGCTTTTCAAATTTCTCAGAATTTCTTGTTTGGTTAGATGATGGAGAGGTATTTAGGTTTCCACTTTCAGCACCAGATGTGACCAACTTTGCTAACTTTATATTTAAAATAAACAATGACTTTAATATACAATTTTTTGTTTTACTCATATTACCCATATAATTTTTGCCTACTTCTCTCTTTCATCCCAGTATGTAGGTTCAGGGAATTGAAGGAAAATAGGAAGGGATATAGAATAAGAAAAAAAATATGAGAACTAGAGGCAAAATAAGGTAACATTTACTAATCAAAAACAATCTCAACAATAACATGATGAGGAAAAGCTCATTTACTAAACACCTGCTGTTGAGTACCATTTAAAATAGAAATAACTGGCAAAAAAAACAAAAACAAAAACAAAAACAAAAAAAACCACCATTCATGTGGCAACTAGTCAATAATATTTGTAAAATAAAAGATGTTTTTGTACTTCTTACATGGTATCTTTTCAGTATCATGCTAAACAATAAATATGAAAATACAGACATATTGTACACCTAACTGGCTTGGCCTTCCTGGTAATTTTTGATCATTCTGAACCCTTACATAAGAAATTAAATTCTATATTATACACTATATTTTAGCAGAAAGTAACAATGATAAATTCCATTCTTAGCACCATCAGTTTGCTCTAATGATTTAACCACCAACTTGATGTTGTACACTGCAATGAAATACACTTTAAAAGGATTCAGGGATAAAGTGTTCTTGCACACTTCATCAAGCTATATCAAGTATCTCATCTTAGAAAAATAGTGCAACTTTCCATCTGCTGTAACTTTCAACATATCCAAAGCAAGATTTCAAAGTATTCTGTAGTTATTAAAAACTGGCATCAAGACTTAAGAATAAGTGCACAGCAGACTGGCAGCCACCCGCTTTCTACTGATATACATATACAGTGAGTTCGGTATCATTTTCAGACAAATACCTGTTTGAAGGAGTCTTTAGATTCCTGTTTTCCCATATATATTTTCTTAGACTCAGCTGTCAGATCATGATTTTCACTTTCCTCTTTCCCTGGAGATCCCATAAAGACATTAAGAGGACTAGAATGCAATAGTGAAGTACTTGAAGTTACTGGATTCTTTCTTGGAGGAAACACTGAGTTCAACTGCGGTAGAAAGTCAAAGCCTAGAAAAGAAGAGGAAAAAACTGCATGTGCACATGGTGTCCTCCAACCTTGGACACTGAAGAGAAGCATTTAATATGATAGGCAGATTAACATGGGAGAAGATATAGATCTGCATTCTGAAGAGTGGTTTGTTTCTCAGATATACCCCATAATTGACGTGTACTCTTGGGCAAAAGTCTTAAACTTTCTGTGACTATTTCCCGATCTGCAAATGTGAATGATGATATCCATCTCCCAGAGTGGTAAGGCTTCAAATATATTATTTGTGAAAATACTTTGAAAACAGCAAAACACAATGTTTTAGTCAGTATTAGTTTTTGATAACTGAAAATTGTTAATTTGGTATATATCTGTGGTACGTATCTTGGAAGGCAATTTCTGAGATGGCTTCTAATGACCCCTGCCTTTGGCGTCCCCATCCTTCGGTAATCTCCTCCCTTTGACCATGGCTTGGACCTAGTAACTTGCTTCTAACGAAAGTAATATGAAAAAGTGGTGAGATGTCACTTCCAAGATTAAGGTTATTAACATATTCTTAAGAAAGGGCTTCCATTTTGGATGCCTTCTCGAATTCTCCTGCTCACCGGCTCTGAGGTAAGCCAGCTGCCATGTTGTCGGCTGCCCCATATCTAGAGAAACTCATGGGCATGGAACTGATATCTCCAGCCAACAGCCATAGGAATGAGCATGGAAACAGTTCCCTGCCCAGTTGAGCCTTAAGCTGAATGAAGCTCTGGTTGACATCCTGACTGAAGCAGGAAGATAGACTTGAAGGCAAAGGTACTCAGCCAAGTTATGCTCTGTTCTTAAAACACAGGAATTATGAGATAATACATGTTTGTTTTTTTAAGCCTCAAAGTGTTAGAGTGATTTGTTACACAGCATAGATAATACAATATCACTTTTCATTTTCACGAAAATACATCTAAGTAGTTCTTACCATCTCCTTTGCCTATGGACTCATCACCTCCCTTGATGTTAACTACAGCATCTATAACAAAATTAGAAAATCAAAATTTAAAACTAGTGAAAGAGAAACCATATCAATTTAGGCTTCCTATTCATTCCCCAAAGAGTTCAAAGACTAACAATCTTAAAAAGCTAAATATGAGTGAGGTTAAAGGTAAGAGAGTACTGATTTAAATTTCTCTTTTACATTCTTTTAGCTTCATTCATACTTTAGCAGCAAATATGAACAGATAATTCTATAGTACAGTCATTTAATGAGGCAGCAAGGTATAGTGTAACAAGCCCTGGGGTAAGTTATGGAGAGCTATAATCCAGTTCTGCCTATACCACTTAATAGCTTTGTGACCTCGGACAAGTCTCAAATGCAATTAAGTTTCAGTTTCTGCATCTATAAAATGGGGATAACATCCTGGTAAGCTCAGAAAATTGCTTTGAGGATCAACTGAAATAATACAAAAATATTTTGCAAAGCAGAACAATGTTATAAGAAACAAAGTTTTATTAGTGTTTATTTCAATGGTAGAATATGTATAAGACTATTTTAATCCTGTAATATTCATTTGCCAGTCCATAACAAAAATTGTAAAATTCAACTTTAACAGGTTAATTAAAAATGAGCAAAAGTCATTAACAAATTCACCAGAAATTCAAATGGCCAATAAACACACAATTATATCAGGAGAAATATCATCTATGTGCATGTGTGTATATGTACCCAGTAACTGCATAGCATGTACATGCACACTTTTAGAAGTTATTAGCTTTCTTATCAACACTATGGAACCATAATGAATCTGGAGGGCATATGACTCAAATGCTAATAACATTTTTAAACACAGCAAAAGTAATTAAAGAAAAAAGTAATTTATTCATTTGTCTTAAACTATTAAAGAGAACTTAATTTATAACTCAAACACTTCCAAAAAGCCCCTTTGTACATTCTTCAATGCAAAAGTTGCTCCAGAGGAGTCCCACTGGCCAAAACTCCCAACTCAGCACTAACCCCAGAAACCTTTCTCAACTCCAGCACTAGTCACTTTTCTCTCCACTCACATCCGTCCTCTCTTTACCCTTTACTATGTAGTTTCATTTCTCTTCACTCTTTATGTAGTTTGACTTCTCTTCATCATGAAAGAAAAGAATCCTTCCTCTTTCAGTTTGACTTAATAATTTAAATAGAAATTTGCAGGCCAGGGTAAGGCAGAAGATCCTCAATAATTTTGTACCATCATGTATGTATTTATTCCTTCTGACTATAAAATTGTAGAAAATTTGGAAAAGAGACAATTTTAAAGTAAAAAATGAAATTGTGTAAGATAATGAGTGGATGAAACAACTTCGAGATCCTGCTGTTGACACGGTACACTTACAATAAATACACCAATCTTTGTGGGCTTCTCAGTATTTTCTGAGATAAATTTGTAGAAATGGAATTACAAGGTCAAAAAGTATGAATATATTAACTCTGTCATCCATGTTATTGATAATATTGCTGTTAGCAATGAGATAATTCCATTCCACTAAGAAAAACATTATGGATGTTAGTACCAAAAAGACACACCTAAATAATGTACTTAGTTCAGACACTATGAAGAATAACATATGTCATCCTTCTATTTATCCAGCTGGCAAAATTTGCTTTTTATTATGGCAACTTTTTTTATGGGATGGGGGGAGGTATATACCTATACACACACAATTTTTTAAATTAGGAAGACTTTTTTGCATATCAAAACATCCAAAATTTTAGGAACATTAATTTAGAAGTAGATACAAGGGACAGATTGCCTATGAAGGTAAAAACTTCCTTCAAGGAACTTTGTGAATATTAAAATGCTAACTTGAGAGCTATTTGCATAACTCCCATGTGAAAATTACCAGCATATATTTTAGAATGATAACATTTAAAATATCAGGACAAAGAAAAAGATACCACCCCAGGGATGGAGAAAATGAGCAAACTGATCCATGAATAGAGTTGGACTGAAGCTATTATTCACATCTTTTAGCCAGAATAAAAATACTGACTACCTGCAAGAGAACAGGATCCTCTGAACAGACTTACCATCTCTAATAGGTGAGAACATGTCACCTAAACTACTTTTCCCAGTATCATCAAGGCTGGAGAAATCCTGATTTTTTCCACTGTCTGTTTCCTTAGATAAAGCGTCTGTGTTTATGCTTCGAGGTAAACCTTATAGGAATTAGATATAAAAATCAATGTTATTACATCTAAATAAATTTTATCATCAGGAGCTAGGTTGTAAAAATCAATGCATCACTCATATTGTTGGTAATATTACAACTATGAGCATAAGGAGAATAAAACAGAATATGACAAGAGCTAAAGTTAACCAGGATTTTCATGGAACAATAAAACAGAATATGACAAGAGCTAAAGTTAACCAGGATTTTCATGGAACAAAAGGTTCCTCAATAGAAAACAGCTTATTTGTTCATACAGCAATACCTTATTTTAGCCATTTTGTTGGAATTTTTCTAAAATAATTTATATCCTTTGCTGCTTTCTTAAAGTACACTGAACACAACTTACTTTTGCTATTAACTGACTCTTATGATCATCTACAAATGTGATTTTTTTCTTTTCAGTCTGTAAGGCATATAGAGCGATGTCTAACATACCGCGGGATTCAATTAATGTTACTTTTCTTCCCTGACTTGCAATGAAGGGGTTTTCCGTCTTCTCTTTCACTAACAGTGGGAGTTTAACATTGCCCTCAGCATTACAGATCTCAAATGACTTCACTAACCTCCGTAGTTTCAAAGAGGAAGCAAGCCAGAACACCAAACTCATAAAGAATAGTATGATAGACAACAATAAAGAAGACGGCAGCAGTGTATTTTTTCTGGCAGTATATAAATGCATGGCTTTAGGGTAGAGACCTTTTAAGAGGAGCTCAGCAGGCTCAGTAGCTTCTGTTTCATTACTGGAGTAAGGACAAAGTTTTAGAGCTTCAAAAATTTTGATTAAAGTCTGCCATCAGGATTGGTAGCACGTTATTGCATTACGTTTTAAAAAATGCTTTATTTGGCATCTCAGGCCCAAATGAAAAACTGAAAAGTCTGAGATGAAAACAAAAAACAGACTGCATATTCAAAAATGCCCAAGACTGGCTAACAAACGTTTCTAGTAACAACTGCTATAAAGTTAAAATATTACCAAATCATTTGTACTATTGTTGAAGAGTGTCTATAGCAACAGTTCAGTTGTTATAAGGAAGAAATTTCCTTTTTTCTAGGTCCTTAATATGTTTGAATGCCTAACCCCAGCCTCTGAAACTTTAGGAAACAGAAGTTTAGTATCATTTGAAAACAGTGCTAAAGTCTTATTCTTTTCTTTTTAAATGATGATTTCCTTCTAAAACTGAGTACCAACAGCAAGTTTAGAGAAGTTCTTTGGAATAACTAAATCTGGACAACTTCAATAGAAGCAACAGAAATTTTTTCTAAACTTTAATTTTAATCAAAGCTTAAAATAGTAATAGTGATGATCATGGTGACCACAATGGTAGTATCAACACCATAATGTACTGAGCGCCTACCATGTGCCAAGTACTTCCAATACATTTTCTCTGATTTTCATAATAACCCTAAAAGTTAAATATCATCTTAAATGTGTGCAGGAAAAAAATGAGACTCAGAAAGGTTAAGAAAATTGCCGAAAGGCATCCTGGCCGGAAGTGACAGATCAGAGACTGAGTCTACTATTCTCAATGTTTCAGAGGCAAAGAAAAATGTGTGTGTGTGAGTGAGAGAGAGAATGAGAGAATGAGAGAGAGAGAAAGAGAGGAAGAGAAAAAGAATGATGAAGCAAATGTGGCAAAATTTATAAAGTGCATCTGCCAAAGGGTAATGCTCATGAGTTGTCTGTACTATTCTTAAAACTTTTCTGTAAGATGACAATCATTTCAAAATACAATCAATACACAAACATTGTTAACTTTGTGGGGGCAGAGCACTCACTCACTTTGCCAGAAATTTTGCGAATCTACCAAGAGTTATCATTAATCCATGATCCTGAAAGATCCAAGTCTTTGATTTCCAAATTAATGCTGTCTTTGTTAAACAAGAGCCTTCTTATTATAAAACTAAATGAATAATGGAGAGACTTCAGAGAGTTTATAGTGAATGACGGAATCTTTATTTTAATTTTTGAAAATTATGAAAAAAGTTAATTTTGTAAGATAATGGCAGTTTTCATAATTAGTTAATTCAACATGTTGGCAGACATTACTCAAAGTTATATTTCAAAAATAATTTCTTCCTTAACTAGATATGAATTATCTTTGTCTCCAGGAGTTCCTAAATAAGAACCTAAGTATTTTTCTAATATATAATGGCTCTTATATAAGGATGATATAGATATTCACAGGAAATTTATAGTGAACATACTTACTTTAAAATACTACTCTACACTATCAAGATCAACAAAATAAAGTTTTGCTTCTACTTGGAAATAGCAAAATCATGCTACAAAAACACCAATAAATATTTTTGCCCAAGTATTTATCCTGAAAAATTTAAAAGACATCAATATATGCATTTCTACTGAGCACAGTATTTTGGAAACATACTAGTATACCATGTAGACTTTTTAAAGTATTTGCTGCACATTGACAGTATAGCATAACTTCTTAAAATAAAAATGAAAAGGTTTTCAGGAATTTACAGAATATTTTCTTTATTGTGAGCAAGAAATATTTTCTACAATAAGTATGGGAAAGCTTATCATATAACACATCAATAAAGTCTAAATGAATCCTGTTTCAGAACTGTTTCATAAATTATATCAGAGAAGAAATCATTAAAAATTGCAACATTCTCATTTATTTTTATTTAACAAATTACGAATATACTGCTTAATATGTGCCAGGCACTATTTAGTACTTTAAAATACTCGTTTCCTCACTTGACTTACTTTTCATTCTAAAATGTGAAATAAAAAGAGCCATTAATAGCTTTTTTTTTTTTTTAATGAAGAGATCGAATCATAAGACAGTGTCAAAGTTTCATATTCTCTACTGGTTAATCTGAAGACACAATGAAAAGCCATTCAGTATGTAGTAGGATTAAGGATGAATAATTTCTGAGTTAGCCTTCTTCCATTTTTAAGATAATATTTCTCACAAGAGAAGTTTAGCTAAATAGGGGCCTTTTAACATTTTTGAAATTAATAGCTAAAGTTACTATTTTCACTTCTTCAATGATTTTCACTTCTACTAATTTTACCTAAATACTCAAAGAAATTTGAATTCTAGGTTCTTGAAGAATGTGCAAATTATATGTAAGCCAAAAAACAAAAAACAAAAACAAAAAACCCTCCAACAATATATAAGCAATATTTACCTGCTTTTTCTTGAACAGCAACTGTTCCTTTCCCCACAGCTGACGTCATAGGCTGTGGTAGAACTGTGGCAATGGACGTGGCGGGTGCTTCTCTGACAATTCCGGAATTCTGAACTCCTCCACTAGCAGCGTTCACATTAACACTTCGTTTGTTCACTGTTGTGGGCTTATTTGAACAGCCTTTATTTAAACTTGACTGAAATGTAATGGAGTATTTAAAAGCTCAGGTTACTAATGTTTCATACTATACATTAATATTTTATAAATTCCCTGTTAGATTAAAAAATGAATTTTTTTCCTTGCAAATCTTAAGCTTGCTGGCAGATCTGAGTTTCCCTCTAAATCAAAATGTCATTTAAAATACTTTTAAAGAGAGAAATATATAAGAATAAAAAAAAAAAGTTTTAAACTAAATATCAAATGGCTTTGTACTAAATTATATAATATTACATGTAAAATCATTATGTAATTATGAAACAAAACTATACTGTGTTTGACAATATATAATTTCCATATTCTGAGTTAGATTTATTTAATAAAATCAAAAATGCTGAAATGAAAATGTCTCACCTTAGTAAGAACAGTGGAGTACTGAAATGCTATACATTGCACAGATGTCTTGTGAGCACTGATGGTCTTAACTGGTGATTTCAACATTCTTAAATCATATTGATATATTTTCCCCCGGGAAGATCCAATAGCCAAAGTGGCTCCATCAGGCATGAAATCTACTGCAGTTAGAGGAGTGTCAGCCACTAAAGTTTTCACCAGCCTATGGGAAGGAGAACAAAGTATGTGTAGTATGTTATTGTGTACAGGTATATTAGCTTATATAAGTAACTATACCAAAACCAGAGTTAACACTTCAAACTGATCAAAGAGCACACATTTCCCAAATATTTGTTTAAAGCATAATTTCAGAATTTGACTTAGAGACATTTCTAATAAAATGGCATGTAGAGAACTGCCAAACATTCCATCTTACTTTTCTATTCACTTCCAATAAGTACATTCCGCATCTTACAGAAGCAGCACCTACTTCTTTAATTATTATTCTGAGAGTGAATGTAGCAGAATTGTCTATTACGCCACAAACAAGGGCTCTGCCCTCAGGGTTGAGGAGGACCTAAGTATCCACTTTCCATTATTGACCTGCTTAGGCCTCATGAGGACTATGACCTTTCACAGGGGTGCAGCTGTTACTTTGTTCTTAGTTGTGCAGTTTTGACCAAAAAGCTAAGAGGAACACAGTTCACATGCTTGATCCTTAGGAAACTAATAAAGAAATATGGATGGTGATCTGCTGAAGCTGAGCTCTTTACTGGTGTGTCTAGTATAAGAGAATAATGGCTTACTGGGCTCTCAGTAAATTGTTCCATAAAAGAAGACAGCAAATAAGTCCTAACAGTAAAAATTCTAGCATCATAATAAAGGCTGACAGTGGGACCTTCCCTTGTAGTATCATTAATACTCCACATGATCTACAGACAGTGTTAAGCATCTTGAATACAACTGTATCACTCTTGCATTCTTTTTTGTTTCTTTTAGCTAACTAAGCATACCTAAATTTAACAAGAAGAGGGTACAGTGGGCCCAAATGCTTAGAAGATTATGTACACCAGTACACAATCAGTATTTCTTAACTGGGAGCAACGAGGGGACATCTGGCAATGTCTGGACACCATTTAGGCTATTGGTATTTAGTAAGCAGAGGCCAGGGATGCTGATGAATATCCTACAACACCCAGGACAGCCCCTCACAACAAAGAATTACCCAGCCAAAAATGTCAATGGTTTCTAAACCTTCCTCTAGATAATTAATCAGTTTTAAAGCAAATTAATCATTTGGGTTAAAAACATATGCATTTTATCATATTTTGAAAAAGACGCTAAAATTAAAATGTGAGATCATTAAGATGTCATCTCTCTATGTTCATGTTTCAGAAGTATTCTAAATACTACCTGCAATCCATCTATTTTTTTCTGCTTGAAAAGAAAATTCTTTCTTACTAGATTCATCAACTGTACAAACTTTAGGACCCCTGGACATTAGTCAGAGGTCTATACAAATCACAAATATGCCTGTTAATGGAATAATAGCTATTTGTTACTAAATTTAAAAATAAGCATGTCACACTTACTTCTTACTTGAAGTGTCATAGAGGATGATTCTTTTATCCAAGCCTATGGTTACAAAGAGCAATTCATTGACAGGAGAAAAACAGATGCCTGAAGCTGGAGCTTTGTGTACACTGTCAAAGTTATGGTATGGATTCTGACTATTTACATCCCAGAGAGTTACTATTCCATTATCCGAAACACTGCCCAGTAGTGATTTCTTAAACAAGGAGTACTTCAACTGCCGAACAGACTACAAAAATGAAAGAATAAATTTTATGTAATTATAAGCATTCACAAGGATGTTTTATATAAGCCATATAAATTATGGCCAACCACACTATTCACATGGGGTTTAGGATTTCTCTGATGTGTAAGGGTGACAGGCTTCAGCCAGGCATGGTGGCTCACGCCTGTAATTCCAGCACTTCGGGAGGCTGAGGCAGGTGGATCATCAGAGGTCAGGAGTTCAAGACCAGCCTGGCCAACCTAGTGAAACCCTATCTTTACTAAAAATACAAAAATTAGCTGGGCATAGTGGCAGGCACCTGTAATCTCAGCTACTCAGGAGGCTGAGGCAGAGGAGGCGGAGGTTGTAGTGAGCCAAGATCACGCCATTGTACTCCAGTCTGGGCGACAGAGTGAGACGCTCTCTTAAAAACAAAACAAAACAAACAAAAACAAAAACAAACAAACAACTCTGTCTTAACAAAAAAAGAAAAAAAGAGTAACAAACTTCAATCATGACAACCACAGTGTCATTCAGTGGACCATAAGATGACATACCAATAACTGAAACATACCAATCAATAGTCTATTAATATTCGCCATTTTATTATCTTGGAGTATAGCTACCTCAATCTTCCCCTTTCAGAGGAAAAATATAATACATTGAGATTATCTACATGAATTCATCAGGGTTAGAACATTCACCATATATAAAAGGCCTAGTCACAGTCAAATCACGAACAAGTAAAAGGGAATACTGGGAGAAAAAAAAAGCAATAATATTTTGTATTTGTTTTTTATATCTTAGATATTTTGATGCATTCGTTTGAATCTGAGCATCTGAGGCACTGACAATCCAACACTTGAAGCATAATTAAAAAAAAAAATTAAACCACAAAGGAAAAACTGGCAACACTCTAGACTGGGGATGGACTATATCCACTGTTTCCAAACCATCAGCCTGAGGGCAATGCTGGCCTTTCTCTAAACACAAATCCCTGCGGGTAGTGGAGATATTCTCTCTTCTTAGTTTCTATGGACCAGAATAAACAAAGATTTAGTTTGAATAAACTGATCTTAGATTAAAACTAACTGAATTTTATCTACTTTTCTTTTTTATTAAAATGTTACTCTCAAACTTGTATTGATGTTGTCATTTACTAGGCTGAGAATTAAGTACTTTACATTTAAACTATTTTTTTCCCTACAAATTTATATTCTACTTAACTTTAAAATGTCTAAAATAATATATATTAGATCTCAATAACAAAAAAAAATTGTCTAGGAAACACAGACTTTTTTTTTCTAAGGAAAAAAAAAAGGAGTATTAGTCACCTGGCACCTAAGTTAAGACAATTAATATGTTAACCCATTAAATATGGCTCATTTTCAATGGCTAAAGTACAAAGAGAAAATGTTGGTTTACATAGTTTTTATTTTTGTTGGGAAAAAGTAATATCCAACTTGAATAGTCAAATCTTTTCTCTGGTCTATATTCAAGAAAAATAAACTACATGAATGTTAACTATATAAAAGACACAGAGCTCCTTAGTGCATTATGTTAATGATTACAGAGTCATACACAACATATCAAAATATAAGGCAAAACATGATTTCTAAAAAGATTTCTACAGCACTTTAGGAGTTCATATAGTTATGGTCCTTCACATGATCTAAATTTAGACTAAATATACAAGTAGAATTTTTAAAAACACCATAAAAATCATAGACCTGGTAGATTCTCAAAGTTCATAAAGTTTAACCTTTTAGCAACAGCAGGAATTTTCCTAAAACATCCTTAAAACATGGTCATCCAGAATCTGCTTGCAGGTAGCAAGGAACAAGAAGTTTACCACTGTCTATAATACAACTTGATAACCAGTTAAAAACATATTCTTGATCAAGACAAAAAAAAAAAAGGCTAAAGATAATGATAAATGTTCCTTTCAGATAAACCTAAGTTCAGTGAACACTCAGCAAACCTCTGTATGATTTAAGTGAATTACTTAAACTCTCCAAAACTCAGTGTTGTCATTTACATAACAGAAAACACTCTTGTTTTCCTGTCACAATTATTTTAAGGATTAAATAGCATTTCTGCAAAGAATCAGGTACACAGCAGCTGTCACCACCATTTTCAGAAGTTCATAACTTACTTGCTCATCACTGCTTATGTACCCACCATTCAAACATCTTTTACATATATTTTTAAAGACCCTTAAGTAACCACACTGAATTCTTTAAATGCCTCCAATTATTTCTGTAATAATACTAACAGAATTTCATTTCTTAACTTTCTACATCTATTAAATCTTCTCTTTAGAATATCATTAAGATATTAGCTAAGAATCCTGGATAAACAAAACACTGATTTACTAAATTATATATATAATTTATACATATATTTAATTGTGTGGTGTGTGTGTGTGTGTGTATATATATATATATATATATATTTTTTTTTTCAGCGACAGGATTTCGCCATTTTGCCTAGGCTGGTCTCAAACTCCCAGATTCAAGCACCCCACCTGCCTCAGTTTCCCAAAGTGCTGGGATTACAGGTGTGAGCCACCACGCCTGGCCTCCAAATTATATTTAAAATAAATATTAACTTATTTTAGTATCAGCAGCACTTAAGTCATTAAGTCCCTATCTTGTTCCAGACTAAACTATTTATAAGAAAAGAATTAAATCAAGAAGCTTATGGGGGGAAAAAAAATCCCAGCACCATAAGCAACAATGCTATTTTTTCTTGTAACACATTATTGGGTAAGAATGTTGTGTGTTTATGGAGGAGGGAGACTGTTTCTAAATATAAAAAGCACACCACTCACTACAGGTGAGGGGAAGGTTTCAAAAACTTATTCTTAAAGGGCCAGACAGTAAATATTTTATGCTATTGTACTGAAAAGTAGTTACAGATAATATACAGATGAAAAGCATGGCTGTGTTCCAGTAAACTTTACAAAAATAAGTAGGCTACACCATTGGTTATAGTTTGTCAGTCTCTACTAAGATAATTATTTAATAGAAAAAAGGTTTTTTTTGATCACAAAGAAGAAAAATCATCCATAATCCCACCCAAAATCATCCATAAACCCAGAGAAAAGCTGGTTGACATTTTGAGGGGATATCCTTTAAGTATTTTTCCGTGTGTATGTATGTTTCTGTGTATTCAGTATAGTATCAACAGAAAACCTGGAATCATGCTTTATAATAAACAGTCATGTTAATGTTTTCTACGTGATTTTAATGGCTGTTTAAGATATGAATCCATGAGTACACCAATTTATCTAAATAATCATGTCAGACATTTGGGTTACTTCTGATTTGCAAGCACTCTGATTACTACCCTTTTTTAAAATTATTAATTTATGAAAAAAATTGTAATTCATTGTTGTTCATGCCTTAAAGGTTCTCAGTTGAAAATATGAAATGACTATTTGTCTTTCTTCTTTTGCAAATTGCTCATTATTCTACTTTGCCTATTTTCTATCGGGCTATGAAGATTTTTAAAATACTAATTTGCAACTTGCTCTTAATATAGTAAGAACATTAATGCTCTCATAGATTGTAAATACCTTCCCCATTTCATTTAAATTTTAGGAATTTTTGTCTTGCTTTTTGTCAGAAGTTTTAAATTTTTATATATTTAAATTTATCAAACTTGTTGCCAGTGACTTATGACTATACTTCTTTATATTTATGCTTATAAAAGCCTTCCCTTTGCACAGATAAGAATACACATTCACATCATTTTCTTACTAGGTACTATAAAGCAATGAGAAATTAATATAAACATCTTAATATACATATGTACATACACACATATATATGGTCACAAATATACATAGTGTTCCTTTGACTCCATACTAGCTTCTTGATTCCCAGGGCCTTATTTCAAGCACAAATCATCTGTCACCTAAGCCACTGCATAGTTATCCTATTTCCATTCTCAGTGGCTTACTATCCATCCTCCACTCTGTTGCAATAACTAACATCTTCAAACCCGAAAATCTCAACATATTTGTCTTTTGCTTAAAATCCTTTCAATGGGAGGTCTCTGAGAAGTTACTGGTTATGGTGGTGGCAGAGTTTCTGAATGGCTGTCAATACTGTGAGTGCATGCGCAAGTGTGTGTGCGCGTGTACGTATGTGTGTGCGTATGTGCATGTGTATGCAGAAAAGCAGGCCTGAGACTGCCTATCTTTAAAAAGTCCTGCACTCAGGGTTGGTCCTTGGCTAGCATCTGCGAACTTGGGTTTTGGAAGGGGTCCCACTGCCTTAACCGATAAGAATGGCCCACTCGCTCTGCCTAAACTTATTTGTGACAGATATGGTTTAAGGCTGAACCACAGCTGAATACCTAATTTCCTTCTGGGAGTTTGGAATTTTGGTATGTGCTAGGCAGTGGGCTCCTAGATATAACCAGCCCCCCAGTAAAAACCCTGGGCACTGAGGCTCTAACAAGCTTCCCTGGTAGACAACATTTCATATATGTTATCACAATTTGATCCTGGAGGGGTTAAGCACATCCACTCTAGGAGAAGACTCTTGAAAGCTCACATCTGGTTTCCTGTGGCCTTCAACCCATGCACTTTTCTCTTTGCTGGTTTTGCTACTTTGTATTCTTTCACTAGAAAACAAATCATAGCCATGAGTATGACTATACACAGAATCCTGTGAATCCTAGAGAATGACCAAATTTGGTCTTAGAAATCCCCAACACAGCGTGAGTGTGAGCGTGTGTGTGTGTGTGTGTGTGTGTGTTTTACAACAGATAATAAACTAGATGACCAAAAACTAAAATCCCACGGACAACATTCACAACAAATTAGATGATCAGGTATCCCCAAGAACCCCCAAATACATGCTGAGAGGTCAAACAATTAACAGCCATAAGTCTTTCATGGTATTGGTGTCTCTGCAGAAGGAAGTAGAAGGAAATAACAAGGAGTCTGAGATCTGAGAACAGAAGCAGCCCATAACAGTCAAAAGGTATTCACAAAAAAGCATGTTGGCCAA